TTTTGCTTTTGTTAAGTCAATCCTTTTAATCGTATTCCCATAAATCCATTACCTATTTTCAAAAAATCATAGTCCCATAAAAATTTTAAAAAAAATTAGTTTGGAACAATATAACCATTAATATATATAGGATCCATTAAATTAAAAAAGTTTTTTCTAAAAAAATTTATATAATATCTTTTTAAAGTTTAATATTTTGCTTTTGTTAAGTCAATCCTTTTAATCGTATTCCCATAAATCCATTACCTATTTTCAAAAAATCATAGTCCCATAAAAATTTTAAAAAAAAATACTTGGGAGGAAGAAAATTTTAAAGATTAAATCTGAAGTGATCTGCAATGAAAAAAGAAACTAAAAAAACGACTAAAATGATGATACGAAACAAAGTATTTAATGATAAAATTGATCAAAATAAAACTTGAGGAACCAAATTAAAAATTTTACAATAGTTAGGGGGCGTTTGCCATAATAACATGGCGGAGGTAAAGCTAGTGGTGCAAGATATGGATTTGGAATGATTAGCAAGTTATTAGAACATTCTGACCGTTAATAAATCACAAAAGTGTTTTCTACATTTTAACTTGCAAGAAAAAAAAGGACATAAATATCTATAAAATTATTTCACCGATATTCATGTCCTTTTTTTAAAAAAAGATTGACTTAAAATTTTGTTTTCTCTTTTTAAATTAATAAGAATATTAGAGTATTATTTTTTATACCAATTTAATCCCCTTTGCAAAAATTCGTTAAAAAAAGAATACCAATATCGATATTGTTAGAATGAGACAACAATTAATGATACATATATATATAAAAAGAGTGCACCCTTTTTTTTTTGTTTTTGGTAGAAAAAAAGAGTGCACCTTGCTTCCATGGATTGTGCTTTCTCCAAATGACGAAAAGAAATGCTGGGCTCGGCGAAATGCTACTTCATAGGCTGCACGCTTCAGTATACCGTCTCTTCTTTCAAGATTTTCATTACATGTAAAATAATTGAAACCAAAATGTAACAAATTAGTTAAAAAAATAG